ATAATAATATAAATATATATATACTATTATTATATTAACAAAAGATAGAGGAGGAGCAGAGGGCTGGAGGAAAGAGGACTTCATCAGGATATGAGCTGTTTGCAAAGCAGACCAGAAACATGTGCTGAACACTCCAATGATTATGTCACTGTGGTTGATGCACGAGCCCCACGCCGGCCTCTCCGTCTCTGTAGCCTGCAGACCTTGTTAATGATTGGTTGGTATGTGACCTCTGAACCCTACAGTTCTGATGGCTGTGTGTCACTGCTTCCCGTCCGTGTGTGTCAGCGCCATGTACCTGGCTCTGGTGTGAACACCGCTCAGCTCCTAAACCGCCACATGTGCACAGATGTAACTGAAATGTGAGCCACGTGTGCACAACAATAACAACCAGGTGGTGTGTGTGACAGTCAAATGGCCCAGTTTCCTCCCAAACCACTGGGTTACGATATGTTCCTCCCAGTTTGTCCTGATCAGAAGCTTCTCCGTGAACGTCCACCACATGTGAAACGTCCTGGTCTCTCCACTGACTCCGTCACTGTCGTCGCTCTCCTCCATGTTTATTGTTACTGGTCTGTGAGGGGCCGACGCCGAATGATGACGACAGGTCGTATGAGCAGAGGAGGAGACGATAAAACGACCACATGGATTCTGATCTGACCGTTCTGACGGCGCTGCACAGTCAGAGGTCGGAGAGGAATCAGGTTTAGGAGCACATACGCATGTGGCCCAGATCTGGTCTGAGGACACCTGGTCTGGTCTGTCCACACTGTTGTGGACACACCAGGTCTGGGATATGGAGGCAGCTTTAGTGAATGTACATCCAGCACCATCCTCTGTTCTTATTCACTCTGACATGTAACAAGAATGGATGTAGTTATTAAAAGCCTGCAGGCGGTTTGCCTCCGACTGTCGCTGTTTAAAACTGCTCTAACTTCATCCCTCTCTTCAAGTGTTACTGAAGGTCGGCTGCTCCAAAGTCGTGTCTACAATGATTACCAATTTCATCAATTCTGCTACAGCAAGGGAGGGAGGGAGGGACGAGCTTTATCATGTAGCAGCACCAGGAGAGTGAACACCAGTGAGAGCTGTTCCAAGGTAAATAAATTAATAAACTGCTAACTGACCTTCTGTCTAATGGGAACAAAGTGAAAAGGACAATTAAAGTGCAGGAGATTTACGAGGTGATTTATGGAGCGCTGGTGTGAAGTCACACACGAAACCCAGTCCTGGAGGAAGTGTCCAGGCAGAGAGATGTGCAGTCTATAATGCTGTTAGCATCCTCTACAGGCCGCAGGATTCATTACAGGCGTAATGAGAAAGTATTGGACAAGAGCAAAACATGAGAACCCTGAGTGCAGCGGATTCAGTTGTCACGCTATTCAGTGGTATAGTTATGGATCAGCAGAGGCAATCTGCTATAAGATGGGCCGATAAAATGTGGTTCAGTGGGTAGAGCAGTCGTCTCCCAACCAGAGGGTCAGAGGTTTGAATCTCGGTCCCTCCAGTCCACGTGTCAAAGTGTCCTTGGGCAAGACACTGAACCCATTGCCCCCGATGGTTAGAGCCATTGGTTGAGTTGGCGCTGCAGATGGGTGCCTCGGTTCTGTACCTTGTAACATACTTGGCCAATAAAGGTGATTATTATTCTCTCTTATTAAGATGCAGCATAAACAGCCAGGTGCCAAACTAAAGGACGACCCAGCACAGAGTCCCAGTGAGGTGCTGGGCCACCACGTGCCACCAGAGCAGCTCCACCTTGACTCTCCAGGCCTCTGAACCCTCCTGGAGGGATGGACACCGTTCTTCCAGATGTTCTTCCAGTCCAGATGTTCCCTCATGTGGTGTTTTAATGATGGTGGTGGAGACGCTGTCTAACATATCACTCCAACATCTCCCATAGCTGTTCAACTGGGCTGAGACCTGGTGACTGGGAAGGCCACAGCGTCTGGTTCACACCATGGTCATCCTCATCAGACCGGTCAGTGACCCCTGGTGTCCTGTGGACCGGGGGGGCTCTGTCATCCTGGTGGTGCCCCCCAACAACAACAATTATCATGAGGCGGTAAAAGTTGAGCCATTTGCACAGAGGTGGAGTCAGAGTTGTTGTGTACTGTACATGTGGCTCACACTGGCCTCACGTGCTTCACACCACTACAGTGAGTTCAAAGGTCACCAGGCTGCGTGCCATGGTATTGACCTTGGGCCCAGCTGGACCGGCTGCCGCTTAGTGACAGACACTGACTGTGTGTTTAAATGTGGAGCTGCTTTTAACTATTTTATGTAGAAAGCAGCTTATGATCACTGACATTATGGATTCATCTTCTTACTACTTTATCAATTAAATAACTGATCGATTGGTTTGTAAAAATGCTGTCACACCCAGAGCCCTTCACAGTGCTGTTGTCCAAACCTCAGAATTATGTCTATAACAAAGCATCTTATTTTATTAGCTCATCAAATGTTAAGTTTGTAAAGAAACTAGAGCAGTAAAATGAATTAATGCAGTAAAAAGTGCAAAGTGGAATCAAGCAGCTCAGATCGGCACTGCTCAAAAGGCCGGACACAGGCTGTGTGTGCAGCTCGGAGGGGGAGGGGCTAAACTTCGATTCATCTAGATGGCCACGACGCCGTGGTCATCTGAAATGTATCTGTGTAAGACTCATGTGGAGTCGCACGTCAGCCCAAGACGTTTGTGATGAAACCTGAAGAGACAGAGAAACATGAAGAGAACAAAAGGTCGAGAGGTCAAAGGACAACAAGGTCGAGAAGCAGCCTGAGGCAACAGTGTCATCATCACACAGACACACACACACTGTGTGGCGTGACAGCCGACTGTCTGTCCTTTCTCGTCACTATTCAGCAAAGTAAATATAGAAGAGAAGCTAAAACGTCTGCAGACAGTCTCAGTGAAGAGCGGAGGGAAAACCCCCAAACCACCAACAGCCATTTACACACACACACACACACACACACACACACACACACACACACTGTGTTAATCCCCGTCTTTCTCCTCGGCCACCATGTACCAACACAACACATCGGTCAGACCACACACATCAATAAACCCAGTGGTCCCCTTCGTTACAGAAATATGGCATAACAGACGTGCACGTGCTATGGTCTGACCAGGTTTCATGCACCTTTTGACTTTTTTTCCCCATTGTGAAAACCGGTCTCTACTGGAATCCAGTGCAGCTGCACTATAAACACTGAGGATCTGAATCATCGACCAAGGAGCCTCTGATTCAAACCTCATATTTGTGTTTCCATCCACCAGCTTTCAATGTGCACATTGAACAAACAGAGGAAAGGCTGGGAAATTGTCCCAACATAGAAACGTTACTGCATCGAGAAACAGAAACCGATGTAGCGAACGAATCGTGACACAGGAATCAGCTTTAAACTCATATGAATAACAGGAGGCAGGCGGGGCAGATTTACACACCGTACTTTGACAACACAGGATGGAGAAGCTGGAACAACAACAGGAGGCTGTGGGCAGCAGAGGGTCATAGATGGGGGGTGTATGACACCGCGTCCTGTCCCACTGTCACTGAGGTTAGCAGACAGTGGGGGAATCTCTGCTAATGCTTTAAACTCTCCCATGATTTAATATTTCCACCTGTTGCTGGCCACATCCTCGCACAACAAAACCACTTACACACCACAGGCCTTTTCTCTGACGCCTCCCTCCAGAACAACGTTTATTCACCTTACACTCAGGTTTACAGCCTCACAGTCTTGATGTGTTTATTGTTGTTTTTAACTTCTTTCATGGCCTGTTCTGTATGTTTCGAATCCTTTGAAGCCCTTTGCTGCAAAGGAAAAGCAGAACATAAAAAATTGTTATTATAATAAAATCAGAGCTGGGTGGGACAGCTTCCCTACATCCTTTCCTTCATCACCCCTTCTTTTTATTTCTCTTTCTTTCCTCCCTCTCCCTCCTGAGCAACCTCAGTGTTGCACAACTAAAACACACACACACACACACACACACACACACGAGCAGGAAGCAATAACCAGACACACTTATTTAAAGCCGCACATGAAGCGTGCTGCTGCAAACAAGTGTGACAAGTGTGAGTTCAACATGGCCTCGAGCCTAATGCAAGGATCACATCAGAAAAGTAGAGCAGCAGTCAAACAGAAACAAAGCTGCTCTGACCACAGAGGGACACAGTGCAGCGCGCACACACACACACACACACACACACTTTGCAAATCAGCCATAAATGACGAGCAAAGTATAAAAACCGATCGAACTAAACAGAGCAGAAACAGTCCGGTACCTCCTGCTCCTCCCTCAGGACCTCCTCACTGTCAGCAGGTGTTCTCCTCTCTGACGCCCGGCCAGGAGGAGGAAGAGGAAGAGCAGGATGAAGGCTCAGCTCACTCACTCATCTCCTCCATAAAACTGTTGCTGCTGCTCCTCTTTGGCAAATCCACACAACTTGTGCTCACACTGACATGTTCTCCAGTGTGTCTGGAGAGGAAGACGGTGAGTTCAGGAGCGGAGAGGAGGAAGTCTCACTCTGTCTCTTTGCTCTCTTACACCCCTCCCTACCTTTCCCTGTCTGCGTCTAACAGCGTCCCAGAGTTCCTTGGTGCAGCTGCCACCGCTGCTAAAGCCATCTGTTGCAACACGTCTGCCTGACTGCCTCTCCACTTTCACTCTCCTCCCTCCCACTCTCTCTCAGGCCGGGAGAAGCAAGGGGAGGGGGGCTGAGCTTTGCTGTAAGCCAATGGTGAGGCCCAGAAATCCCTCTCCCTGCCTGGAACAGGAGGGGCCAGCAGCGAGAGGACAAAATGAAATAAATACAAGAGGGAGAGAGAAACAGAAGAGGCGAGTGTGCACAAACACACGGGGGAGGTGGGCAGAGCAGCAAAAACACAAAGACATAAACTATGTGGCCAAAAGTATGTGGACAGAGACTTGCATGTTCCCTTAGCACAGTCTCATCCGCTGTCTGGAAAACCTGGCGGCTCTCAGAGAAATGTGTCAGGAAGCAGCTGTGCACAGCTCTTCATCAAAACTGGGGAAATGAACCACAGCTGCATCCGCAAATTCAAAAGTTAGACCCCACCGTTATGTCTGCAGAGGGGTCACTGTTGCCTGCACAGTCCGGCTTTACAAACCCACAAAGCTCAGTACTAAGCCCTACCTGGTACCCGGCCTGGTCTGCTAGAGTCCTGCATGCACCATTAATTAAACACAGGTGATTTGACATGTGAGAGCTTGTGTCATTCACCAATAAGGCAGCTAATAAGGATTGAAAACAGGACACTGATTTAGATGTTTAAGAAAAAGTCTTCACCTTTATTTTCAGTTATTGCTACTGCATGTACCAATGTAAAACCGCTGTAGTTGTGCCAGACACAAAGTGAAGACACTGTCCAGACTTACTGCGCGTCTGCCAGTCACCCATTTTGTTAAACAGACTCCTGGACAGAGTTGGGATCCAGTATTCCCTGCTGCCTTGGTATCCTGCTGATGCACAGTGACTCTACTGACTACCCGGAAGAAGGCGCTGGCCAGTGTCACAGCTCAGGTCATTTTCATATATTTGAATATTCATGAATGTTGTAATTCACAACGAAGGCCAAAGACCAGACATGTTTTCAACAGAGAACAGTTTTGATATGTCTTAAGCCATCTGTTGAGGGGATCTTTAACGATGAGGTCTCATAACAGCAACACCGCTCTGCATGATGCAGCACAGTCCGACACTGGCACAAGCCACAGCCTCCAAAATGATCACACAGTTGAATCAACACTTTTAAAACTGTTGTCTGTAGTTTTAGTCAGGTGTTCCTAATAAACTGACAAGTGTATAAAGGGGCACCGAGTGCCTCCCTGAGTAACCACAGTAAATAAAAAAGGTAAACACAGACTGTGACCTGCTGTTATCGGCCAACATCAGCTGAAACCACAAAAACGGAGCAGCACAGCAGTGTCCACGATGTCAGTCACGCGTGGCTGAAGGGTTGGGCTGTCGGCATGCTTCTGGCAATATAGTGTGTTTCTGGGAGAGAGTCAAAGCAAGAGAAGAAGAGTGAGAGGAACAGAAGGAAGAGACAGAGAGAAAACAGAGGGAGGGATAGCTGAGGAGGAGGTGGAGGGCAGACTGTAATGGAGCTGTTGGCAGAGCTTCATGTAGTGGCTCCAGTTAAATGGAGCAAACAGGGGGTGGGGGAGCAGCTCAACAAGGAGTCTGCTTATGCCCTTTCCAATAAACCCCATGCAAACACAGTTAAACGGTGAGTTTGGATGCATCACATTCAGTCAGACTGTGAATGTGTTTCCAAGCGTTGCAGAGGTTCCACGTGTTCATTGGTTCAGCCTGGAGTCGCTGCACACGACTCAGGTTACAGTGCACGAACCTGCAGACACCACAGTGTGTTTACAAGAGCACGATCTCCGAGTGCACGCTGAGAAAACTCATCACACATTTAAAAAGTTAGCAAAACTCAGTTAAGTAGAAGGACCAACGGGTTACCATCAAAATATACTTCAGTCGTCAAGTTCACACATTAAAGTTAAATAGTCCATGTTCATTTCTCCTGTATTCAAACAAGCTGCTCTAAGCAGTAGAAAACTCTTCTTCAGTAGAACCCCTACCCCTCCACCCCCAGCCACTGTCACTCATATACTTGTACAGTCATCAGTTCACTGGTGAACAAGAACTCAGCATGTTTACCTACAGGCGCATTAACTAATGTCTTTTCAGCCACTAGAGGGTCTAGTGACGCTCAAGACAAAGTGATGTCTTGTTTCCTAGCAACAATGTAAACTACAGATGCCTGGTTGGGACAGAATGCAGCAGCAGTCCAAAGCTACCGTTAGCTATCTAACGGATCCCAGCCCCTGAGCAGCACTGCAGTGGCATAATGTGAAGTGCTGAGAGTGAGGAGACAGAACGGGGCCAACAAAGCACTGACGTTACACAAGGATCAAATTAAAACCATATTAATTCAACATAAAGGGTAAAATCCTGACCCTGCTAGGTGGCTAATGCTACCAAAACAAACAGTTTAGCTTTAGATGCTAACACATCCAGAAGGAAGAAGGCCACATCTGGATCCAGTCTGAGTCCTCTGGCTGCTTTTAACCCTCTCCATGTCAAACAGCCAAACCCATGTTAACCCTGGTTGTTGCTCTTTCTTTGTCCCACTCTCTCTGTGCTAAAGACGCCACCTCTTCACTTTGGCAGTCGCTGGTTCAGACCTTTAGCAGCCCAGAGCTTCTCCATGGCTGTTTGACATGACTACTGGCTGGGCAA